AATTTAATTGATGTTTGAAGAAAATTTTTTTGTTTCACATTATTTGATTTTTTCATATTTCTAGGCATAGTTTTCTTCACTTTTAATGTTTAAAACCAGTCATATGCAGTCTATTTTACTATTGGTCAAATTACTTTTTATTTATGATGAAAAATAATTATTTTAATTTAAACATTAAATAAATTGAAACCAAAGGACTATTTGAATAAATATTTTAGACATAAATTTCAAATTTAATTTATTCACGATCTTTTTAGTGTTTTATGGATTTTGTTTGGTAAATAATAAAAAATGAGTAAAATTAACAAAAAATGATGTGGTGGTAAATCATAAATAAGTAACATATTTTCTATTTAATAAAATAGTAAGAAATTCTGAAAATAGAATGTTATCAGACAAAATAACATGATATTTGTTGTAAAAAAGTGAGAAATCTATGATACTAGAGTTATACCTCGCGCGTTGCGCAAGATTTTACTTTCGAATTTTTAGTAAAATGGATATTTGAATATAATATAACCATTTCAATTTTAAATTAAACTCCAAAAAATCAATATGAAATATGAACACTTGGTTGACAAAAAAAGTAATATGAACACTTACATAAATACAAACTTATTTGCAAGTGATACTAACATAGATATTTTTCATGGTAAATTTTTTTTTTTTCGAAAAATCAATGAATAATTATGTGCCACATGGTTATAGAAATTAGTTGAAAACCTAATAGAAAGAGAAACCGGCATTGACAACCATCCCACGATCTTTATACTAGAAACAGTTATTCCCTATTGCGGTCCCATAAAAAAAAATATCTAGAGATTTTTATGTTGATCATTGACCCAATTTTATAGTGAATGAGATCAAAAGAATATTTTACTTTAATCTTGTGCATATATCTTTCTCACTTTTATTGAAAATTTCTTTAAACAATTTTTCAATCATTTTTTCGTCATATTCCAAAATGCACTCGTTCACCTCTTGGCATCTAATTTATTTTCACCTTCTCTTTGGTGACATATAAATGTATAACATATTGAACGACAAATTAATTTTCAATTCTTAACGAAACTATTTCTACTAATTAAAAAATAAACGAAACTATTTCTTTTATTTTATTTTCACATACTATTTTTTACCATTACTTAAGCGTAAAAAAAATCTTAAGAGATACCTACTTGTCTTTCCGAGGTTTTTCTGATTGTGTTGTAGTGCATATCAAAATCTCTTTCTAATATCTCATCTTTAAACTCATTTTTATTCATCACACACATATTTCGTCTTTTGTCATCAAACCATGCACTAAATTCTCTCTTCTCATATAATTTAATCATCTATTGTAAAATATTTATAATATATTATGTTTGTTAATATAAATCTAACATATTTTTGATTTTGATTATCTTAAAATGTGTAGTTTAAAATCTCATTAAATTATAGTTAGTTTTTAAGTGTGTCTAAAAGGAGGAAAATGTCTGCTTTAAAAATTCTACAAATTTTTCATTATTCAATTAAATTGTATTCTTTTTTATTGGAATTTTTTGGATAATTTGTTTTACTATTTGTCTATTTCACAAATAGTTACAAAATGAATTTCGTCAAATCGAATATATATTCACGTTTTATTTAAAATATTTCATCTTTATAGATTTTAAGTGTTTGTGAGTTATTGTTATCATTTATTGAAAGATAATAATTTAAAAGTGTG